GTGGTTGAAGGTTGTCATTGTGAAACAGAATCGACTTAAGAGCAGACTAGACTACTCCTGATTGCCCTGGAGCGGTTCGCCAGAGGTAACCCTGTAGATAAGTAGACAAAGATTACACCATAAAAAATAGGACAACGACCATTTATAAATACACTGCAATAATTCATTTGATTTGTTATAAAGTGTTTTTCAATTTTATTTCATTTTAACCACATTGATGCGTTTGCAATTTTTCTTCGCAATTCTAATTTCATAACCTTTTAATCGTATTATTAGTAGACTTTGATTATGTTTTTTGACAGCTTTTCTTACCACATTAAGCTGGTTTGCCGGCTCGGTTTCATTAGGGTGTGCGAACAATGGCGAGTTGAAACCAACAAATTTTTCCCAGGAGCCATGAAAATCGTAGGTCATGATGGAGATGAAGTCGACAGTTCTAAAAACGATAACAAGTAAAATAGATAAGAGTAAAGTAAAGGGCAAATTGCCACGTCTTCAGGCTTAGTTGGCATACAGGACTGGACATTATTTTATAGCTAGTCGGCACTTTGTGGATGAAATGGTCAGCATCACACCGGCCGCCTGTGATTCCCATGACTTTATCTGTCACCCTTTTAAGGCTAAGTCGACCTGGGAGCTTAGGGTTACACTATTTTAATTAGTAAATTAAAAACCTTAAAAACTATCGATAATTGCATTCATTTTTGTCTGATAGACAGCACATAGTGTTCTTCAGTAATATTAAGAACTCCACACGGGAGCAGGCACATCAGGCGTTCACCGGTTATCAGTTTAGATCCTTCGTCGACAATTGTTTCGGCCCATTACTTTCCTAAGCAATCTAGGAAGGTTGGCCGACCTGGGTCATGAAGCCGGGCCCCGTTCTTCCCCTTCTGCACTTCATCGGACTCGATAGGGACAAGACGATATGGTGACCTTTTAACAGGTGCTTTGAGATTTGGTGTTATAATTGGTAAACCAAAGTAAGCTTGTCGCTCGGTCGTCCAGGCATGCGGACTGTTTTAATTACGCTGTCGCGGCGGCTTCTTATCTCACAGTACCTCCTTCGAAACCACAAAGTCGTCTTGTCT